GGGGCGGTCGGGGGGGGGGGAGCAGTGAACCGTCAGCCTCTTAAACGCGCTTGACAAATTGCACGCCCGAGACAAGAATACGTGGGTGACTCGTCCTTGCGGGATTCTGAGAGAAAAGTTTCAAGGATCAGAGCCGCGTCCATGCCGATGACCCACCAACGATAGAACGGCCCTCTCCCCCAAAAATAAGGGGGGACCCCATAGCTCTCCCGACTCTCGCCCAGAATTATTCGCTCGCACGCGTAAGCGTGAGCACATCCGCATGTACGCGGAACTGCGCAGCATCGCTCGCATTGATTCCTCAACTACGCCTTTCTATGCTGGGAAAACTCTTATTTTCTTGACGAGCCACAGCGTCGGAGAGATAATGGTCGGCCTAATTTATTGAGTATGATATATGGCTTCGGTATCTCTGTACACGAGCCCTTTGGCAAGTTCGTTTGTCACTCGGGTTAAAGCCTTCGTGCTTGACGAACTAACTAATTATAATTTTAAAGCTACTTTTGTCTTTATCGACAACCGCTTAAATCCTGGGGGTTTCGTCGAAAGGAATAGAGGTCAATTAATGCTCAATTTCATGAATGCGCACGTTTATTCTAATGAGCTAAAGTTATCTTTTGTTTCTCATATTTGCAGACACTAATCCCGAGGAACAATATTCCCTGAGTTTAATTAAAAAATGTTTAAATGATAAAAGCCGTTAAAAATCTTACGTCCCATGTACAATCTTACGTTTACTTATCATCTCATTCGGAATAATTGATTTGCCAGTTAAGTATGCATGATATATACAATATTGTCTTATCAACTTTTTTTTCAACAGAAATTCCTTTTACATATAATTTTACAAATTGCCTGCGAGCCTTCATGCGTATATTTTAATAATTATAGTAAATTTATTATCGTCGATAATCAAAGTGCCTTTAAATTGATAGCTCGACTTTCCAATCGATACGCTTGTTTAAGACATTAAAGAAGAAAAATTAACGTTAAATAAAGCCGAAATAATTAATTAGAATATTATCAAGAAATGAGAAAGAATGACTGTTTATTTATTTATTATTCTACATTTATTGTAATAAATGACATTACTTTCTAATAGTTAATAAGAAGTTTCGTAAATTTACCGGCACTCCTGATTTTTTATTTCGACTTTAGGCTACTTCGATTGAACATTATGACGCTGTTAAAAACCATACTCGATATGGTTAATATATTTCGTGATATAATTTTGTTTTCAAGATACTAACTTTAATGCTACTTTATTACTTAAAATTTTGAGATACTGCCAAGCTGACGGTTTTATAACTTACTATCTCTAAAATAATATAAAAATATAAAGATAAGAGATTTAACAAACTTCAGTTTCCAAATAAATGAATGGCTTATATTTAATATTAGTTCATATCCGTTTCGCCTACTTCGTACAAATTTTACGCTCTCGCGTACTTTTACGCATAAACGTGTGTCTGTATCAAACCATAAACCATAACATAACATATTTTTAATCGGCTCGTCCTATGAAATGGAATATTCATAATGATTTAAATAGTGATTCGCCAACTTTTTCACATAAATCATTCCAATAATATTAGCACTGTTTTTAATATTAAGAAAGAAAAAACAAAGAGCACAGAAGATACGCCCATACTTTGTAAAGTAATTGCATAACGAGATTTATACTTGAAAGAATAGAAGCAAATATACTTTCCATTTCTCGAAATTTAAAATAAACTTTAATTCCGCAATTAAGACTGTGAAATGTTAAAACTTATGAAAAAGTTTCGGTCTATAGGATACCTACTAAAGGCCTGCTTTTTTAATTAAAATAAATTAAACGCGCAATTACGTCCGTTTGACTTCTACCTTAAATAACTCTATGAAATCATAATTAAATTCATCTTAAATAAGGAAAAACAAATAAAATTTAGTGATTAAGTGTTTATGATCTTATTATGTATATTATTGATTAAGATTAAATGTATAATTGAAAAAAAAAAAAATATCAAGAGATTAACACTCAGCTAGATCCAAATCGTGACGAGCTTTTGTTTTCATACGATCGTCAAGCTTTCGTTGTACTTCCTTCGTAACAGGATATCATTTACTATCCTGCAAAAGTTTATTTAGTTGATTCACTAACGAAGCTAGTCTGTTCAGCGCCTCGAGGCTAAAAGTCTGTCTCTGCCTACTATTTCGCTTCAGCAGTTACTGATTCCTCACATACACACCACAAGAGTCAACTTGTGGTACTTGCAGTAGTTATTTCAGTGTTATTAGAAAATCTAAATAAGAATATTTTATCATTTTACTAATGTATAAAAATCCATCATACTTTCAAATATTATTTACAGTAGAGAAACAACAGTTTATTTTTATTCTAAATAAATGCTTTAATATTATTAACGTTCTATAATTCTTTATATATATATATATATATATAATTGCATAAATAAACCTTTTGTATTTATTATTAATAGAGTCATTAACAAAAGTAATCCGCGATACAAAGTAGAAAATTTAATTTGTTCAACTTTCATACGATTCTCAAAGAAAATTTGAATAATTTATTAAATTAAACAAATAATTTTGCTTTTCATATTTTCATAACTACTATAATACTCTTTCTATATGTATTAAAGAAATAAGTTTTGGACGAAGGTTAAAACTTTTTTTAACTTTATTTTTATGACACAATTTTTGTTATAATATTTTTTATATGCAAAGTTAGTCAACCGTGTTAAAGTTAGATGTAAATGGCAACTAAACTTTCATAAACGGTAAATTTATTTACATACTCTAATATTTGAAATAACAAGTATTTATAAACAATATATAAAAATAATTCAATTTTAGTTTACCATCAACTTATATTGTATAATATAACTACGCAGTAGTTATTATAGTATTGTATTGTATATTATATTATATATTATATTATATATATATATATGATATATTATATTATATTATAATATAAAGTACTTGTATTGATTTTTTTTTTATTTTTGACATTCATTTGTAGTAAAGACTTTTGTTTCATAATTGTATGGCATAATAATTGTAATGCCCAATTGACTGATTAAATAAATCGTCATTATAGATAATATAACGTCAATAATACTCTGAATTCATTATTTCTTTATATATTATTCATCAACAATATTGAAACGTCGGGTTGTTTATAGAAACTTACATACATATACATTATGGTGATTTTGTTAAATATGAGACCGAAAAGCGTTAATTTAAAAAAAAAGTATTTATATTAATTGGCTAACAGTTAAGTTTACAAATTATTAAATATTTTATTTGATAAGAAAATATTTAAGTAAACTCATTCACAAAATGCGAGTATCGACACTTTTGATTAAAGATATTTGTTATTGTCACAAGATTAATTTTTTATTCCAAAATTAATATAGAATAAAAAATGAGAAAATAATGAGATTTTATTGCCTTAACTTCCGCTTATATTATTATATTTTCAAATAAAAAGGGAAAATTTAATTATTATTTTCTTACTCGTTTTTACATAAGTTATTAATTTGTATCAACGAATAGATGGTTTTCTCCACGGTTACAGTTTTCTTTCTTCCAATAAATTATTCATCATTCTTCTCGCTCTATGATAAATAATTGGTAAATTTAATGACAGTAGAGTTTTTAATATTTATTTAATTCTTGATGATTTTAACCTACATTATATATATATATATATATATATATATATACCTCT